TTTGAAAACATATCATCAGATTGTTTTACCTGCAGTTTTATAAAGGCCAGGCCAAAAGAAGAAGAAGAAGTTAGAGAAGATGAATGACACCTCTGAACTTGGCATCAGAGAACAAAGAAAACTAAGGTTCTGGAATAGCCCTCCCAGCCCTGGGAATAATATCATAAAACTCTGTGCAAACTCTGCACACACTGGCTGCCAGAAAAGATGAAGAAGGCAAAGAGAAGTTCACTGACTGTAAAGAAAGGGTGGAGGACAAGGTAATTGCTAAGGAGACGGTAGACAAGGCACAAGACATCTGCCATGCCCAGGGGGCCGTACTGGCTCTATTACATTACTTCCACATCAGCACATCACCTCATTTATTAGCTAATCAGGCAGAATTCAATATTTGAAATTATCTTTCTTAATCCTGCATGTGATCTGTTGAAAACCCAGGGCTCTAAAAATCTAATTGTAATTGCTTACCAGAAATGTCATCTTCACTTGGAAGAATTGAACCAAGGCCAAATGTGAGGCTGTTTTTTTCTGTTTTCCCAAAGTACTGTCCCCCAGGACTGGATATGCATTTACAGGTCCCCAGTACCCCACATTCTAGGGCTCCCTGAAGAGATGTGGGCACTGGTCCTACTTCCAGACTCAGATATGACATAAGACTAAAGGTAGCGTGTGGCCATGGAGAAGGGGGCATAGAAGTGAAGGAACAATAATTTAAGCCTTGGCAAAAGTCAAGAGAGAAACGTCTTGAATCTAGATAATAGTTGGGCCTGGGCAGGAAGTAGTCCCTCTGCCCAACAGGAAGGGAAGGCATGATATGGCAGAGCTTGCTTGCTCATCCATGATCAGGCTTTTTATCTTTGTACCCTACACCTCAGCCCCACTTCTCAGTGTGACAGCGTGGGAGTGAGCCCGTGGTCAGCTCCTTGTCTGTTTTCCTAGGCTGCTCAAGTAGTCTTCCCGAGACAGACCTGCAGGACTCTGCTGTAGGTCTTCCAAGTGCCTTCCACAGAGTGGGTGTCTCCTGGGGAAACCTGAAACTATGAGGAGATGAGAAAATTACCTGGAATCCAACTGTCCCCTTGGCCCCAGTGCCCATCACTGCTGGTGGAAGTAGGCAAGGGAATGGAAGAATGGTATGCGGTTCACAACCTGCTGGACATTAGCCTGCCCTTTGTATGAACCTAGGGGTGCAGGTTGTAGGCTGGTGACGTGCACTTTGTGTGTTACCTGTCCTGATGACATGTGCTGTGTCTGAATGAACTATTAGCGGCACAAATACCTTGTGTGTGTGTTTGTGGTGGTTTGTGTGTGTACAGAATACAATAGAATAGAGTTAAAAGTTTAAATCTTTTTTTTTTTAATATTTATTTTTTAGTTCTCAGCGGACACAACATCTTTGTTGGTATGTGGTGCTGAGGATCGAACCCGGGCCGCACGCATGCCAGGCGAGCGCGCTACCGCTTGAGCCACATCCCCAGCCCCATAAAAGTTTAAATCTTTAAAGCGAGTCCCTCTTGCTTTCCTCGTCCTACTTCTATTCCTTTCAAAATATATAAAGAAAAGTGCTTTATACAATGGTCCACCCCTGAAAAAAGCATTTGATTTGGGGATAGAAGGAATCCAGAGTATATCTTCCCTGAGAGATTCTCTAAAAATTAAAATCTTTATATTCCTTTCTTCTCTTGGTCAAAACAAACCAAAACTGGAAAAAGAAAGACTATGTTTATAACTACTAAATAACTTTCCTGTTCCTAGTTAGAAAAATCCTCCTCCTCTATTTGGCCTTCTCTATATTAACTTTTAGTGTTAGAATATAGAAATCTAATCGTTAGACCACATTATAAGTGACTATAATTTGCTTCAAGTACATATATTTACTGCTTGCCTCACTAGTCCCAAAGAACCAGCTTCTATAGGAACCTTGACTGTAGCATCTCACTCTGCTTGAAACCCACCTCTGTCTGTCCATGAGCATAAAAACCCAAGCCTTAAGATTATAAAGACCACAAACCCCCACCCCCAGGACAGCCATAGTTCATGCACTTAGCTTTCTGCCTCTTGTTTTTGGATTCTGGAAAAATCCTCTAGTTAGGCATAGTTACAGTGAAGAGGTTTCTGTTTCATCCTGGGCATCTGGAGGATTTTCAGGTCTCTAGGCCACAATGTTGCTCGAAAGAGGAGGTTAAGTGGGGTTTCATCACATCCAGTGACCACAGTCAGGATCCTTGGGCTACCTGTCAACTTATTCTCAGAGCATTCTAGGAGTTCCAGGATTTATTTAACAAAACGTGCCTCTAGAGCTAGAAACAGTTCTTTAAGAAATGGAAACCTTCTAAGGTTGTGGCTTAGCAGTAGAGCGTTCGCCTAGCACATGAAGGGGCCCTGGGTTCGATCCTCAGCACCACATAGAAATAAATAAACAAAACAAAGGTATTTGTCCATCTATAACTAAATATATATAATATTTAAAAAATGAAAAAAAAAGAAGTGTATCACATTAGATTGGGTAGAGAGATGTGATGGGAAGGGAGGGGAGGGGAAGGGGGGATAGGAAAGGCAACAGAATAAAATAGACATTATTATTGCTGTATGTATATAGGTGAGTGTATGACCAATGTGATTTCTGCAACTTATACAATCAGAAAAATGAGAAATGATACCCCATTTGATTCAAATGTATGAATTGTCAAGATCATTGTATTGTCATGTATAACTAATAAAAAAATTCATCAAACAGATTAAAAAATAAAATTAAATTAAAAAGAAATGGAAATTTCCTCAAGATACTGAGGTAGGAAGATTGCAAGTTAAGACCAGCTTGGGCAATTTAGCAAGACTCTGTCTTAAAATAAGGGCTGGGCCTGTAGCTCAGTGGTAGAGCACTTGCCTGATATGTGCCAGGCACTGGGTTCAATTCCCAGTAATGCAAACAGAGAGAAAAGAATAAAAGAAAAGGAAAAGGGTTGGTGGGGGGGTATGAAATGAGAAGTTCCTCTATAGGAAAGTATGGCAAAATGGGGTGATGAGCTCCTACTATGAACCCATTTATTCAGCGCACTTTGAAGTTTCTGCACACCACACGTAGGACACAGGCTGGTGTAACAGGTGTAGTAAGATAGCCCCTGGCCACAGAGAGCTTGGAATCTAGAAGAGTATGCAGCCCACAGGGTCAGAATGAGAAGTGCAGAGGCAGGGATGCCCCTGGGTGCTGTGGGAGCCCAGGGAACCTGCTTGAGAGGGGAAAGGAAGGGGTGGGCAGAGGGATATGCCAGAGGCAGCTTGGTAGGGGGTAGCGGGGAAGAGTGGTAGCAGCTCGTCACACACCTGGAAGGTAGGAGGAGCTCTATCTGGAATGAGTTCAGAGTACAAGAAAAAAATGCAGGAGCTGTGGTGGTTGTGGCTCAGTGGTAGTGCACTTGACTCGCATGTGTGACTCACTGGGTTCGAGTGTCAGCACTGCATATAAATAAATGAATAAAATAAAAGTCCACCAACAACTAAAAAAAAAAAAWTTTTAAATGCAGAAGGGTGAGGTGGAAAGAGGACAGGGATGGGTTGTGAAGCCTTCACTCCACACATCCTCCATATTAGGGGTTAATGCTTTCTTCTAAGGGCAGGGGGAACCATTGAAGATTTTAAGCAGGGGATAGATTGGGTCCTACTTAAACTTCATAGAAAGATTAATGTGGCTGTAATATAAAGAAGAAATTGGAAATTATGAGACTGGAGGCGGAGAAAACAGGTCAGAGGCTGCAGTATTGATCTGGGTAGGAAATGATGGCGGCCTAGACTGGAGAAGCGGCAATGGGCATGTTGAGCAGAGGGTATGAGAGCTCTTAAAAATTTAGAAGATGCAACAGTAGTTCATTTCCTTAAAAAAAAAAAAAAAAAGTGGGAGGAGGGAGACTAAGTTAGGTGGTCATTTCATGTTTAAAACAAACATTCTGGGGGCTGGGATGGGGCTCAGAGGTAGAGCGCTTGCCTTGCATGTGTGAGGCCCTGGGTTCCATCCTCAGCACCACATAAAAATAAATAAATAAAATAAACGTATTGTGTTATGAACAACTAAAAAATGTTTTTAAAAAAACAAATATTCTGGCAGTCTCAGTGTTTTTCCTCATGTTTTTGTTTTGGCGGGGGGCTGAGGGGAGGAAGCGGGTACCAGGGATTGAAGTCAGGGACACTCAAACACTAAGTCACATCCCCAGCCCTATTTTGTATTTTACTTAGAGACAGGGTCTCACTGAGTTGCCTAGCAGCCTCGCTTTTGCTGAGGCTGGCTTCGAACTCATGATCCTCCTGTCTCAGCCTCCTGAACCACTGTTTCCATTGTGAGTATCATCAGTGGTTGCAGGTAGCATAGGGAGATACCCATATATTTTACAAAAGATAAAAATCTCAGGCAATTTCCACATGCTTTTCCACTGGGCATATATACATGCCTCCCCATTTTGGGGAATCACTTATCTGCATAACAGACAAGAATTTGGAGCAGAAATATAGCTTTCATTTAAAGTAAGTAACAATCTAGGCATGGTGGCACACACCTGTAATCCCCGAGGTTGGGGAGGCTGAGACTGGAGGATTGAAGGTTCAAAGCCAGCCTCAGAAACTTAGCAAGGCCCTAAAGGCCTAAAATTACAAAAGGATGTGGCTCAGTGGTTCAGCATCCCTCAGTTCAATCCCCAGTGCAAATAAATAAATAAGTAAAGTGATAACATTTGAAGGAAGCTTTTGCAGTGTGACGCAGTTCAGATACTGTGCCGTACCACACACGCTTTAGATGCTAGCTTACTGTCAATAGAAACACGGCCTCACGTAATTATGCTTCCTTCCCGATGAAGTGACAGATTGGCCAGCATGTGATGAATTTGGGTTGTGTAGATAAAAATACAGGTGTCCCAGCCAAGGCATACAGTTTGCTGTGAATCACCCACATCAACTTTCAGGATAGTTAGAGTCACAGAACAATTGCTCAGTTCCTTCCTTCATTTTCACAGTGTGGACCTGGCTCCAGACCCAAGAGTGAAGCAGCAACTTTAAGAAAGCAAAAACACTATAAATAACCCAAAGAACCCTTTTATAACAGCAACTGCCTGCTGATTTTGTGGCCTAACAGCTCAAGCAGAAAAGGATATAAATACAATATTGTGCAATGACTAATTACTCAAAACTCTGTGCATCAGCAGAAGTGGAACCTGCGGTTGGTGCTAATGTTATCAAATGCCTTTGCTGTTTAATAATCTGTAGCTTTATATTATCTAGCATGGAATTTTCACAGAAAACAATGATTGTATTTCAAGTACCTCTCACTGAAATTAAAAAGCAGCTGTTAAAAGATGAACATTTGGCAGAAGATGTTCTAGCAAATCTTGTAAGATACTAAATCATATTGGATTAACTATTTTCTGTCTAAAGAGTGGAGTCACAAAGAAAAAAGATTGCTGACCACAGAAGGCAGGGCCAGTCTTTAGAACGAGTGAATCACTAACAGACCTTTTAGTTTTAAGTGCCATTTATTCACCGATATGTTAAGTTATTTATATACAAAGCTTTCATTAATGTTGCCTGAAGAATGGGCCCTTTTTTATTCCATTTTTAGCTCGTACCCAAGATTCCATTTGTCTTTCATTAATTATAGAATAAATTAATTCACCACAGACATTTTGGGCAGAATGGGGGTTTGAGACAGTTTTCAGTCTCRAGGGGCCATCTTCCTCTGTGGCTAGCCATACAGCAGAGAGAAAGGGCTGTGACTGAGGGCAGCGCCCGCCAGCACTGCCATTCGGGCCCTGCCTGGGAACCTGAGGAGGCAGAGTACTTGTGGCCTACTCACTCCAGGTTGACAGTGTCCCACATATGTTCTTTGAGCTGGCCAACCACTGGCCCAACTAGGAATGAACCAGTGAGGAAGTAACATCATGACACGGTTGCTGGGCATAGCCAGTTTCAGCTTTAATATACCATATTGACAGGGAGGTTTTACATTGTTAATATAATTGTAAGAAAAACATGAAATGCTCCTTTTTAAAATTATCAGGCAGCATGTAAACAGCTTTTCCTCAGTTCCTATTCCTGGAATAGAGTGGGTGATGGGTGGGATTTTTAAATGGAGGGAGGATTCTCAGAGATAACTGAGGATGGCTTACAGTGGGAAACCCAGGCTTGGTTGAGGGGAAATGAAGAAAGGAGTTGACTCAGGCATGTCTGCTTTGCATATCATTCAGTGATAGGAGACAGTGTGTCTGCCTTTTTATGAAGTCATTAGGATGCAAGTGTTAGCTCAAAACAGCTTCATCACAACACTCTACATCAGTGCTGGTGTGACTGACCAGCTCAGAGGCCATCACCAGCTGATGAAGCTGAGAGTGGACCTGAGTGGACATAGGCAGGCCCAGATGGAGCCAGCAAATGGCCTCTGTCAGTATGAACCATTGGCTAACTTGGATCAGGAGCCATTTCACCAACAGTGGGGCCAGATCTCTGATGCAGTCAACACCACAGCCACGTGCCCCATGTGTGAAGTGTGAGGTGGCCAAATACACTGCATTTAACAGGAAGTTTTTTGTCTTTGTTTCAATTTTAGATTAAATCCCAGTGGGGCGATTATTGTGATTACCTGTACTCTTGCAAATGGTTATAAATACTAGTAGGGCACTAATACATGAGAATCTGGAAGCTCTGGGATGAAGGTTGGCAGAGTTTTTCTTGTTCTACAGTAGTTGAAATTTAATCAATATATTGAAAATGGAAAGGCCACTGTCATTTTTAATACCACTTACAGTCTCTGTGGGCAGTGAAATGGTGCCCTGAACATACCTCAGCCCCACCTTACTTTGATTTTACACTTGACCTCCCATTGATCCTTCTCTGTTCTCATCTATCTAAATGAAAGAATACTTTAGCCCCATAAACCTCATTCTGGATAGAAATACATAATTCAAGAGGAATACTGATGTCAAAGAAGAAAAGGCACACCAATTTGTGTCAGCATTTGCTGTAAATTAAAGAGGAGTACAAGGAGAGTTTAATGTAATGTAGAGTTGAAATTAAAATAGAACCAATATTTAGGCATTCCTCCGCCTCTTTTTTCCCTGCTGTGACATGAAAGATTGACTTTCTCCCAGCCTAAGTATTAATGTATTTCATTTTTTTCTTTTCCACTGGGATTTTTTTCCCCATAAAATGTTACATGTTTATCAATGGCATCTGAATTTGAACTTTTTCACTGGTTCCATTCTTAATCACAATAGCAAAAGCCAGGGAAGAAAAGAGTTGGTTTCCCTTCATGCTCCACTCCCTTCATGTTTGCAGTCGAGAAAGGACCTCTGCCTGCTTAACTGCTGTCATGAGCTGTTGATTCCCCTGGATACTGATTCTTTAATGTGTCACCTCCATGGTATCTTTTTCCAAAGCTGGAAAATCAAAAATAGATTTGAACAATGTACTGTTGTGTATGGTTCACAGGAACCTTTGGCACGAATCCACCAGTGTCCTTCCCTGTAAAGCAGTCCCGGGAGCTTCACATTTACTTCTATCCAGCTGCCTTTTTGTTCAGAACCTGTTTGAAGCTCCTCAATCAGGTTTCCACCAGGGCTAGTTTTGCTCTTTACAGTTGCCTATTGTTTGGGGTCAGTGGTAGACTCCCTAGCTTGATTCTACATCACTAGACTTGGTTTCAAGTGATTCAGTCTTTCCAGAAATAAATTCCTCTGGAGAGTGGTTCTCAAAGTGTGGCCCCTGACATCCCAGACTAGCAGCATCTGTACCACCTGAGAATTCATTAGAAGTGCAATTCCTGGGCCCCACATTGAATTTAATAGGTCAGAAAGGCTGGGGGTGGAGCCCAGAAGCCTGTATTAACTAACAAGCCATCCACGCAATTCTGACCTCTCTGCTCAAGTTTGAGAAACTCCGGTTTAGAAGACATGTTTGCTTCCAGGGAGGATTTTCAAAGATACGCTACAATTTTTGATGGTATTCCAAAAAAAGTTTCAAAATATTTTTTGGCAAAGATGGAAGACATGTATGGCCTCCCCAGAGGACAGTTAATGGAACTATGCTTTCACCAAAGGCAACCTAATTGTGCCATCTCACCATGTCTTCAAGCCATTTCTTACACTTGATTTCTCATCTGGAAAATGAAAGATTCACCCTTCTACCTCACAGGACTGTAATGAGATTCAAATTGAATCACATCTGCAAACATGCCCGGTAAACCAGAAAGTGCTCTGTAAACATGAAAGTCAAATCATTCTGCAGGCAGTATTCTGTGGTGCCAGCATTACATTCAAGGATGTGAGTGGGAAAAGGCCTGTTAGCCAGATCCACCTTTCTGTCTCCATAGTGTCCTGGACATGATGGGTCTCAAGATTTGGCCATTTCAGCTCACCAGTTGAGAGAAAACCTTTGCCGGAGTAGTGACTGCAAGAGGCTAGGAAATATAGCCATGATCAGACATGCTGTTTTCTCTGAGTCTCAGGAAAGCTCTGAGGATCAGTGAGGGCAGTGTTGTGTGAATGCTGAGGCTCTCATGCCCAATACATGGCTCATACCAGCCCTGGAAGGGTCTCTCCAGAAACCATCTACTACAGGGCTGTGCAAGGGAATCTTGACCTTTAAGAAGGAAGTTTATTGCTACACATTAATCATTACAGAAAACTGAAAAGAAAATCCCTCGAGCCAACCAAATCTATAGAAACTGAGATTTATAAACCAGACCAGTTAATGTGTCTGTTAGGGAAGAATGTGGGTTGATTTTCACCTCAGAGATTAGCTCTTACAAACAATTTCACCATAGGAATTGTTAAACAGCAAGCTCCTGATGCATTTATAATTTAATTTGAAAACTTTGGTGAACACTTCTGAGTAAGAAGGAAGCTAAGCCTGTTGCCTCGGTACTTATTAGGAAGGAAGTTTCAGTAACACGGAGCAGTTCCCACTGGGCCAGTATCAGCTTCACTTTTCACACAAAGTGCCAGCTAACATCAAGAGATTAGGTATGAATATAATTGGTTAATTAGGGTTAAATTATTGGTTAATTGTGGCGTAGTATGCTATTGGTCAACTCTAGAATTAAAACATGAAATGATTTTACTCAAAAATGTTATCTATTTAACAACTCTGTAGAGACAGCAGGTAGATTAGTGGTTGCTAGGCCTGGGAGTAGAGGGAAGAATGAAGGACTATGAGGTTTCTTTTAGGGGGGATGAAAATTTCTAAAATAGATTGTGGTGATGGTTGCTCAACCCTGTGACTGTACTAAAAACACCGAATTGTATGCTTTAAGCGGATGGCTTGTATGGTCTGAATTATATCTTCAACCTGTCTTTTTGGAGGGAGCTGGGGATGTAGCTCAGCTACAGGGCAGGTGCTAGTGGCCCTTGCTTTCTTTCCACTGAGCCTGTAGTTCCCACATCTCCCAATCAATTCCTCTCCTCTTTGCCTCAGTTTACAGTCCCCACCTCCCTGGGCAAGGCCCAAGTCCCAGTGTGAGGAATTTAGCAAGAAGATGAAGACCAGGGTGGCATGCACAAGGCTGTAGCATGCACAAGGCTGTGGGTTCAATCCCTGCAACTGGCAGCAACAATAACCAAAAAAGAAAAAAAAACCTAATAGCCAGTAAATTGTATAGCAAGAGAAAAAATTATGCGTACTGAAAAGACAAATGAAAATAATACCAAAACATTGCTGCATGTTTCATACTTGATTAATTTGAAATACTGATTATTTAAAATATATCAAGTCAGAGAATGTTTACTCTATTAATTAGAATACTTTTAAAAGTGGACTATCTCAGCCTAATAATTGAAATTTAACTATTATAAATTAAAGTGGCTGACAGTAGAAGGCAAAGTCATGGACATTGTGACATAATAGTTTGTCATGTTCCCTACAGATTTATTTAGAATGAAAATCAGCAGCACTTACACAATAATGATAGGAAATCTGGATTCTCACTGTCCATCTTGATGGTCATAAACTATGCTGGTTTGGGAAGGTGGAGGTTGGGGAGGGATGTGATCTCATCTTTATGAGATAAATACATGCTGATAAGATGGACAGATTCAGGTGTGAGCTGTGGAACTGGGCTCTTGTGTAAGCAGCGTCGCCTGTCTGTTCACCATCGAACCCTCTGTCATATCTGCACAGGAGGCAGCCTCTGCCCTTTCCTGCCTTGGGAGGGTACTCAGCCACCCTGGTCTTCATCTTCTTGCTAAATTCCTCACACTGGGACTTGGGCCTTGCCCAGGGAGGTGGGGACTGTAAACTGAGGCAAACAGGAGAGGAATTGATTGGGAGATGTGGGAACTACAGGCTCAGTGGAAAGAAAGCAAGGGCCACTAGCACCTGCCCTATATGCCTTGCAACACAGAGCTTGCTGGTTAGGGCCTCTTTGTGTGCCAGAAGACCCGAGTGGGCCACTGGCAATTCTTTGGAACAAGAGACCCTACTTCAGTGTTTCCTAGCCCCCCCCTTTTTTTTTACCATTATTATCCCACTCCAACCCCAAAGAGCCTTTTAAGATTTTTTCCAATTGCCCTCTTTCTTCCCCCATAAATATTAATACCATATATACTACACACACACACACACACACACACACACACACACAGAGGCATGCACATACAGTTGTATACTGTGACTCTTTGAAAGCCACAAATTATTGTAATAACTAAAAATTTTTTTTACCCTCTTACCGATTTCTGCCCCCTTGGAGA